ATTTTATTTATCTTCGATAAGTCATTATTAGCAGACCGTTTTCTTGATTCTTGTCTTGTGTATGGCACCACAAAACAAAACAAAAACAAACAAAAAAAACGCTGTTCGATGACTTTGTATTCAAGACAGTTTAAACTACGATCTGTTTAAGACATGTTTACCAATTCTGTATCGTTCTAATACATACAGGAATAAGTGATCTAGTAAAGCTAGAAAGTGTTAAGAGTTGTTGTTATCTATATAGGCTACGTATTTTAATAGAATACTTGAACTTTTCCAGTAGACTTAGGAGGTAATAAACATGAAGTGTGCTGTTAAATTTCCCCCTGAGTTGTGTCTATTCACTTCCTATCAGTACTTAGCATTAAGAAGTGGCTGCGATTAGATTCCGACTGGATTTAAGCGCAGGCGGTAGGAATGATCTCAAAAGTGGTAGCGATGTAGGTTCACAACCCAACATACCTGTCTTGCATTTGATCACGTGTAGGTCTCTAAAGTTATTTGGTGTGCATAATATGTATGTTATGTGAAATGAGTACACATAAGATATTGAATTACTGTGTCTAATGACCAAACAATTGCAATGTTGTGTTATATTATTGCTATGTCGTTTACTATGTGAGGCAGTTAACTGATAAGATATAATACATTTTAAGCATCTGTATGAAATTTACACCGATGCCATCTAAAAAGTCATCTTTACGAAGCATAACCTGTGTATTTGCTAAATCAGAGGGTATGACTGGTACTTATAAAAAAAGTATGTATATTGACTTAGTTATTATTAAGCTTTGCGGCATCACAACATAACATTAGGTATATAAATTCACAACCGACGTCTGGAGTCAACGCTACAGAGTTTTCTTTAAAAAATAACTAAGTCAAAGAACTGGGTTTGCGGTGCATGCGTACGGAACAATTTTAGGGTTAGAGACTTTTGTTTTGCAATACATTTGTCAGAGACTATTATGACTTAAGCAAGGTCAAGTGTCTTATGACGATGTATTATGGTGTAGGTCAATTAATAACTGTCTAGATTTTAGTATTACTGATGTAATTTATGCATTTGGTGCATTATTAAAATAAGCATTGCTGTAATTATTATTGATCTGGCTATTACATATTAATTGTGATTTGTGTGATGTTTAGGTTGCACGCTTAATACTTCTTCACATTGAACTAAAGGTATAATATCCTTTCGCACCAGACAGTCCATGCAGCAGGTTTAGTAGAGTTCACCTGTTTCGGTAATCTCGACATATAAAGGGATGTTGTGGTTATTACTAATACCTGACCGTCTTTACTTTCCGTCTGGTAAATAAAGGTGGGTATTAAAACCTGAGTAGGTCAGGTTAGTAGTCTTGCACTCTACGCCGGACCTTGCATATTCAATGTTACTATTTTTAAAACTCTGAATTAATATCTGATGAGATAATTTTTATGCTATTTAACTGCAAATAATTATTTTCTATAGAACAGGCGTAGTAAACAACGTTAACATCCTTCTAGAATTATGTTTCCTTGTTCGTGTTACTATTCATGAAAGCGATTGCGTCATTGTGACACCATTGATTAACATACAGCTGAACACGCTATACAGGCACAGAGACATAGGGGCTGTGAAGGCTGTTGTAGTTTTGTTAGTGCTACTCTTCATGAAACAACTTCAACAAAGGTCTCATCTGTCTGCCGATCAGAGTTTCTTCCAATGCCCCCCCCCCCCCCACCCGAATGAAGTCTACCGCGCCGCCCCGAACAAAATGGAATTTCTATAAAAATATTTTTTTTATCAGGTTCCGCCCCCCTTCCCCGGGAAATTTAGTCCCCCCCCCCCCACCCCAGAAAATATTAAGTGCCCCCCCCCCCCCCCGAGAAAAAAGCGTAAAAGAACAACTACGCCCGATCTTTATTCTTAGCGTGATAAACTAAACATTCATCCGGACTACTAAAAAATCCGACATTGCCTAAGGACGAAGTTGTTGGACAAAATTAAAATGACACCATAAATTTAATATTTCTTTTTAAAACGTCACAATCATTACAATGATACCAAAGCTGCAGCCACCTTAGCTAATCTAATTACAGTAACAGCTGTTTTTACACATCCCTATATAACGAAATCAAATGGAATTTATTTAGCGGACAACAAATTAAATTAATTATAAAATGTTTAAAATTATTGGCACATGCAATAATACGAATTCTTCAGACAAAAATAAATCGGCGAAAAGTAAAATAAAACTATTTGTTATTTTAAAATTAAAATGATTTAATAAAACAATTTAACTTAAACTTCAATAAAATAGATGTAATTAAGTTGTATTTTGATGTATAAAAGTAAAACAACATTCTAACAAATACCATGTTTTTTTATAACATGTTTAAAATTATTGGCACATGTAATAATTAGAATTGTTCAGATAAAAATATAAAGGCGGATAGTAAATTTCAATGTTTTAAATAATGTTATTCAAATTGTTGTTTGAAATATATCTGTTTCATCTAGCCAACAGTGTCAGTAGCCACCGTTTCATAATGTGTCGAAGGTACTTCATTGTAAACATTGCTAAAAGTTTCATACTGATCGCAGACTTTGTTCTCGTAGACATGTTTTGTTTGATATTGTGATTCTGTGTTAGCTCCATCGTAAGTTTCCTCAAATCCGGTTCGGCCTTCTGAAAAGAAAAAGAAAAACGTTAATAACAACGCATATCAATAAAATGAGGGTGGGCGTGTTGGGGTTTGTATAGCTCATGGGTCTTAAATCAAGAAGTCTCGGGTTCGAAAGCCCCAGGCAAATGATGCTCGACAGCTGGGTGCAGCCACCCAAAACGAGAGAAAACTCCAAATCAAACAGCTGCTGCTAACACGGCATCTTGAGTTTATGACCTTCAAGTATAAGGTACCGGTCAGGGCGCGTGAGTTTCTACTGTCAACGGTCACGTGTTAGTGACAAAGGCGAGCCACCTTTTTGGTTGTGGTCAGGCATGGAGAGGGGTGGGCACTATTATACGACACTTTGCCCTAGACACACTACAATGCTGTGCCCAGGCGACCCAAACAAGGGTACAGGAATTATTTAGATATGTATCAGATCAATACAATACTCGCAATCAAATATTTAACTTATTAAATTACTGATTATTTCAAACTGTTTGTTCAAATAATTCGTTAATTGATGGTCTATTACTTACTACACTTAGTCTACAGATCTGACTTACCTCCGCTACTAGACAAATGTGAATCGTTGTGTTGACAGTCCTCTGTTGAACGAGAACTTGTACCTCTCAAACGACGAAATATGATAACTATAGTTAATCCAATGATGAACACACAACACATTACTCCTATTCCAATGCCGACACCAATAGAAATTCCCTGTGATAATCTATCTTCTGTGATAAGAAAGATAATTATGTGTATCTTAGAAATTATGACGATCAAAACAGCGTTTTTATTTTCATTTTTCAAAAATAATAACATTGCTAACTTTAAATTAGTTTGAGTGCTTTCCAACAAATAGATTAAAAATCAAGATTTTAAAAAAAAATTATTTTTTAAATTGTCTAAAATAATTATTTATATATTGAATCTCATAATATATTGAATATTTGACATAATAAAAAAATGATTTCTTAAATCAAAGTTTTAGTTTTAAAATCTGACCACTGTCACAAAAGTCTCCCTGGAACCCATCGATACAAGTTAAGCAATGTCCAGTGACAACATTACACCGGGAACCTAGGCAATTAGCGGGGCATGTTAGGTTACACTGTAGGCCATAGGTGTGTTCAGGACAGGCTGTAGGGAATTAAATGAACATTCGGTTTATCAAAGCAACTCAGTGACAATCAGTTGCTGATTTCGAAAAAATGTGATATTTTAAAACACATACTTGTAGCTATGAACGTTATAGAATTTATATTTTGCTACATTAGTTGAAAGTTTTTAACAGTGATGTTACATTAAGCTACTTACACTGGCCACATGTGGGTCCCATAGTACCAACAGGGCAGATTAAACAAACCCCATCAACATTGTCACAAAGCTGGTTGCTACAGTTTACACTACACTTCTGTGTACAGTTGTTTCCATAGAAAGTAGCATCACAAGCTAAAACATATACATACATTGTATCTCGAGGGTAACATATCACATATAAAATACATCAATGATATAAATATTTTTACTGACTGAACATACACAAGTTAATATAAAATCTTTCAACTACTTACGTAATCAACTTGCGTTCATGTCAAAAGTTATATATTGACTGGACATACAGAAGTTAATATAAAATCTTTCAACTTACGCAAACAATTTGCGCCTGTTTTCCCAGCCGGACAACTAAGACAATAGCCGTTAAACTTGTTACAAGGTTGACCTACACAGACTTCCGGACATTTTTCTCGACAGTTTAAGCCATAGAAAGTTGGATCACAACCTGGACACAAATTTTGACCAGGATTTTCGCAGACTGGCTAGATCACGGCTACTAAAACAAATACGTTTCACTGTGCCAATCTTTTAGAGAATAACACTAATTATAATTTAATTTCGTTTGGTAGGCAACTGGAGTCGGCACTTTTGTCGTCGGTTTAACAATGATTTACCTGTTGTTATTTATTTATGATTGCATAACACAAACACGCATCAATCACACCTTCAATATCTTTGGTTTTAATTGTAATATTGCAGGTAATTTTGCGTCACAATATTATACTTCGTATCGTCCCTTCTTTCCAACTGCAGCCTGCTTTTCTTTCTGCATGTGATTGCATAGCCTGAGTATATTCAGGAACAATCATTACGGCAACAGCGTTTGGAGTTTCTCTCATCTGTTGCCATCCACAGCTAAGGAGCTTCAGCTGCCCGGCTGACTTAGGAATCTTGGATACGAAATCATAAGCTCCTCGTGCGCCAATCAATAATACGAACATGGTTTTCATTTTGAACGTATATAACTCGTTAGATTGATTAATTAAATATGGTTTCATCAATTACCAACCTTTAGAACACCCCTCCCCTTGATAACCAGCAGTACAACCAGACCGACATCCACCTGTAGCTACAAAACATGTCTCAGTTGGGTCGTTACAGTTGCAGGTGTTGGTACACTCTAGTCCCAATCTAGCACTATCACATTCAATATCTTGAGGAAAAATAAATACGTTTTTACACAAAAGTAAAACACTTAATTTTATATTTTTCATAATAATGTGGTAACATCCCATATTGCAGGGTGTATTTTACTCTATTATGTAATGCCTTTTTAAGTTGGCAAGTTATTCAGAATTGCATTAAAACATTTTAATCATAGGTAAAAAATCTTTTAAAAACAAGAATTCTATTTACTTAGAGACCCCACTCTATAGTTTATGTTACTAAAGCTGTTGTTTGAACATGCTTGCTGTGATACCCTGTTCGATCTGGTATATTCGAAACCTATATTGCGTCTAGAGGATCTGGTAGTTATTTATATCTAATCCAGCTTATTTCCTCTATGTTACAATATTATCGCACGACTGGAACTGTTAAGCTTGTGAATACTAAATTGAAATAGCACATAATCCTACCACCAAAGATCTCGACTTCACACAGAGTTAGATAGGTTCTCACTGTAATGTTTACACTTTGAACATATATAGCGGTGGTTGTGATGTTGTACACAGACACGTTTAGTTTGGAATCATCCGTGTAGTTCAACTGTAGCTGGTTATTTTTATTGTAGGCCACAAGGTTAAACCCTCGTAGACGTTGCTGATAGTCACCTGATGATGCACGGCAAGAGAGGATACATTAGTACATGCCAAGTGTTAGAGCAGATGCATTTCATTAATAACGTCTAAAGTTCAGTTCTCAGCCTCGTAGGCTATCTTTCACTAACTGAGAAAGCAAGTCAGTGGGCGCTGAGTAGAACTTATAATGTCTTCAAAGAAACACACACAGTGGATAGTAAATTTAGAGAGGAAATGATACTTTATGAAACACAAAACAGTGTGATTCTGCTTGAATCTGTTCTTAAGTTTAAACGGCCAATGTGAAAAAAGGCCTTTGTGCCTACAATTGTAACCGTTGTTTGAATAAATTTGAATTTGAAATTTGAATAAATTTGAATTAAATTTGAATTTGAATTTGAAATTTGAAGTTAGTATGCTTTTAAAATTCGTAAACTGCGAAATAAACTCCTCAGCTCTTACCTCTGTTGTAAAGCACAAATCTGTCCACTCTGTGTTCACGGGTCAAGTTAATCCCCCATCGACCATTAACACCAAGTGTATGTGAACAAGAACCCTGCCCGTAGAAATCATTACTGTTGTTGCCGTCAACCGCTTTAGAGGAGTCGTAGATGACTCCGCTTTCATTGTAGTTGGTGGACTGCCAAGTTTTTTGGTGTAAAGCCACATTTCGACCTTAAATAATAATGTCGTGAAAACAATTTTTATTTTAGTGTTTGGCATCTTTGTTATATAATGAATATTCATATCCAGATATTGCACATTATTTAATAAATACCTCCGTTAATGTTTAAAGAACACACGGTAACTGCCCTTAAAAATGTGAGCGTAACTTTAATCGCTCTAAGAGAAGAACAAAGAAGGATGTCTTTGACTCTGCTAGTTACTGGAATCATGGAGAAGTACGTGATGCCTGTGTCAGCACCAGTTACGTTTGTTAGTTTGATCGTTATGTTGGTGTTAGAAAACACTCCTGTGAAAATAACGGTAGTCAAAAATATTAAAGCTATGTATGTGCATTCTACATTAATAAACTACCATCGATATGTTTTAAAAAAACTAACAGAGTGTTAAATGCATGTTTGCATGTTAAGCTTCTAGACCCTCCTAATAACAGTAGGGTAGTGAACAATTTTATAGAACAGATAGGTAATATGCTAAAGAGACAAGCGGCTGAATTACTTTAAATGTGATTAGAAAAAGTACTTGTAATTACAATAGATGCATAATAAGCATTGACGTAATTATTTAAAGTTTTGACTATTTAATTATTTATATTAAATAGTGATTGATTAAAATTAGTGACATGAGGTTTATCAGAACTATAACCAAAATGTTTAGTTAGTAAACTTGCATTATATTTTATCACATTTCAAGTCTGTAAAATACTATGCCCACAAGACTAGGCCAATGGCACGTAATAATATTTCGCATAAAAATTGTAATAAATATCAAAAATAATAATTTGATTAATAAACTGCGTTAAATAAGTAGATAATTATTGGCCACGTTTTAGTGGAGTTTACATTCCTGCGGCATCTCACCTGTATCGTTTAAACTCAGCCGTAACCACGTGATAATATAAGCCGTATCCCACGTGATCGTTACTGTTTTGAGATTTGAGCAAGTGTCGTCATCGCCATCATCTATCAAGGAGTTGGAGGGTGTGAGCTTAGCGCCAACTGTTGCCAAGTCCTCTGTGTAATAACATATCAGATCGTAGAATTTGAGATACATACACGCACATTAGTTTTGTATTGTCTTTTAAAATCAACTTACGGTACTGACAGAGTGGACCAAACCAGCCCCGCTCACAACTTGACCCAGCTAAACACAGACCTTGGTCATCATATCTGTTGTTGACACAGTGACATTTGTATTGACAGCTGGAGCCAAACCATCCCGATTTGCATGTATTAATAGGTCCTATTTTGTAAACACATACGTTGATTTAAATACAGAATTTGAATCATGATGTAGCATATATTGATAGAGGCTATTTTTCGTCAGTAAAATTGGTTTTTGCAATTGTGTCCGTGACTGTGTCAGTATGTCTGTGAACACGAAAAGTTAAGTACCATTTCACTTTTTAGCGAAATTAAATATTGAAGTATTATATAAAATATGTAGCTCTGTATCGACTTTTCAGCGAATTCCGATAACCGGAAATTGTAATTACTCTACTTCTGGTTTTCAAAAAGCCAATAACTTGAGTACTGTTTAAGTTATATTGAAGACATTTTACTTATAGGTAATACTTATAAGTATTACATTGTATGCGAAGTTTTCTATAAACTTTTTAAAGATCTTTTATAACTAGGAGGGGTTTTGGGAAACAGATTACGTGAGTACTTTTCAGTAAGGAAAACGAATTTTTTATAGAAGTATAAGATCTCATATTTTAATTTTCCCAATTTTATATTGACCTCCAACTACCGGAAGTGGTACTTTCCGCTCTATGATACAAAACCTGATGCGATATTATATATTTTCTACTCGGTTATATTATATTTAGAAATGTGAGTATTACAAAAATATTAAACAAAACATTTCTATACTGAGATTGAACTGGCAGTGACATTTCCCGTCATGTTATATAAGAATCTAATATAAAGATTATCAATCCCGTTTTTTACTAAACGATTATAAATCAACAAAAGATTTACGATTTTAGTTGTAATATTCTATTCCATACCATACATTTTATCAACTGTAGAAATATCATTCTGCAAGGCACCGGAAATTAAGACTTAAAAACAGGCTAATCAGTAGGGGTCCTAATGTTTTTTATGTTGTTATAATTAAAGCAAACACATTAGATAAGAACCCGATTACAGCACTTCAGTGTCAAGAGTCATTATGTCACTGATTAGATTCATGTGCAACTGAGCAATCTCAATAAATTTACTTTGTGTCTATTTAATATCCTTTCAGGGAGATAATTCAGGGTTAGACAAATAAAGAAGAAAGGCTTATCAAATAGAGTTGTCTTTCCTGCAATAGGCAATTTTTTTTTTTAAATTGAAAGAGAACTGAATGATTGATTAGACCAATGTTCGTATGGTCTATTCGCACACACAACCCAGTTTCTTACATATTAGGTTAGCACTGTTGTTTTTTTTTCACTTTTATAAAACTCACTACATTACTTAACAGTTTTAAACATCAAGGGGGATTTAAAATCTTACTACACCCACATTGATTTTTAATTTAGTAGTCAATGTTTTATTATATATAAGCTTAATTCATTTTGAAACGTATATAACATATCAATAAATGTATAATATGTATTCGTTTGCCATATGTTATAACGAATGCTATTAGCAAGATATAAAAAATATACATAGCTCTAGTTAACTCCGATAAACGCTATACCTGCTTTGTATAGCTGTGTTTTACGTGTATAATAACTTTGGTGCTAAACAGTTAAAATTGAATCTATTGGTATACACACAGCTTAATCAAATAGGCCAAGTTTTATAACAGATCCAATAAAATACAAGTTTCAGTAATTAGTGTAGTCAAATCATTTTTTGAAGAACCAGAAGTCCATTACTTTAAAAAGTTAAACCATAATTTAAAGCGTGTGCATTTTTAAGCGATCGACAATTAGTAATGTATCTTTATCTCCCCTATTAATTTTAATATAGGACATTTTTAAAATTAATTCGTCTCTTTAATTTATTTTTAAAAAATGATATGCATACATTGCTCTCGAAGAAGAACGGATCTGGACAGTTTGAATGAAATCGCTGCAATATAAGTGGGTCAAAATTGAGTATCAAGATTTGCTACAAACCCAGAATAAAACAAACCGACAGTTATGGCTAATTGAAAGCGTGTAAAAAAAACACAATAATACAGTATAAAAGCATACCTGAAGTAACATGTATAAAGTAGGTAGTACAGAAAAAGCACCAAAATACTTCAATGTACATGGTAAGGTACATGGTTTTGATAGCATTTGTGATTCGACACACTTGTTTCTTTCCACTCGTACACTTTCTCTGATAAGGTTTCTACAAAAATAACAAGCAGGTCCTATATAACATGAAAATGTAATCAACCAAGGTGTGCCTTGTTTAGTCTATGCAAATAAAGAGCTAAACATATCGAAATCGCGGTTCCGCTTTCACAAATTTCAGTGCCCTAGATACCGATAATCGATATTACACACCTTACCCCAAATTAACAGTCCGTACATAACAAGTACAAAAAATGACTCTGTTAGATTCGTGGTAAGTTCCTGTCATGGTTACGTCCCATGAATTAAGTTGTGTGTGATGTTTGTCTTTTACAATTAACGGTGGAAAGACGATTTTTAAATTAAAAATTCTCCCATTGTCTACACCTGCTCATCTAAAAGAATTGTCGAGTAAGGGGAGCGAAAAGAACAATTAGGCGCCGAATTTTTAACATATGTTCTATAAACGCACATATATCAACGTATATAGGCTATATTTTACTGCATTTCTTCAACAAACACACATACAGAGTCAGAGAGTTAATGTCATCTTTATAAGGTTGACATGATATATATATATATATATATATATATAAGTGTATATAGGCGAGTATTTCCGGTTGTGACTGATTATGACACAGGAAATAATTTGGAGGAGAACTAAAATCTCTAATGAGAAGTAAAACGTTGTTACACATAATAATGAAGTTTCTCACCTTTTATTTAAGTTACCAGCATGTACACAACACTACCAAAAGTTTATTTTGATTTTTCATGTTCCTTAAATTTTATCTTACATCAAACATGGGGTGTAACCTCTTTTTTTGGCTAGTTTGGTTTTGTTGTATTATTTTTATGTAGAGCGTACTTTTCATTGTACCCTGCTATTATCAAATGAGTGAATCATGTTTTACTGCCTATGGCAGTCTAACAGCCTCCGTCCGTCCGTCCGTCTGTCCGTCCGTCCGTCCGTCGTTCTGTACTTCTGTCTATATGCCTAAAGTTTAAACAATTTGATTTTAATGTTTAATGTGAAATATGTAGTTATTGTTATAATGTGGGTTTATAATATCGGTTTAAAGTGAAAATAAAACTCAGTTTTGTTTAAGTCGCCGTCCGTTTGTCCGTCCTTCTGTCTGTGTGTCGAAAGTTCAAATAATTTTTAAAATAAATAGTGTCCTATCATACACAATGTGGTTGTATTACATATTATAAATATGTAGCATTCTAATGTTGGTTAATAACATTGATTTAAAACAAAAATAAAACTCAATTTCTAAGAAATAGTTTACATTTGGTAAACTATGTGTAATTCAATCAACATTAAGCAATAAATAGTTTGTAAAGATCTATGATCAAGAATTATTTTAAATAAAATCACAAGTAAAATGTAGTTGTTTCCCTTCGTTAGTTTAAATAAATGTTAGTACTGCTACTATTAATGTAGCTACGCGATAAAGATAAAAAAAATGTTTTTCACCATACTATTAAAAAAAATAAAAAAAAAATATGCCTGTTTCTAGTAATGAGTAAACCTTTTAAAGCAGCCCACAAAATAAACAATTATTAAAAGCACATAATGTGGTGTGGTACACATTGACGATATTAGTAATCACATGATGGTTAAAAATACAATTAACCAATTGCACTCATTTAACAAGTTAATTGTATTTTTAACAATCACATGATGGTTAAAAATACAATTAACCTATTGCACTCATTTAACAAGCGAAACTTAGAAAATAATACAGATCATAATATTATTCCCTTTATGAAGACAATTTACCGAAAAATTGAGAAATGCAGACATGATCTAGAAAGGAAAACAAATCAACTCAAGTAATTATGTTTATTACTTACATGGAATACAATGGAGGGACAAACAATCGGGAAGTGAAAAATGAAATATGGGCAATGCAGAGAGGTTAATTTAAAATGTGACAAAATAAACGAAAAAAAAATGTTTAAAATATCTAATGCTTTGTAAATGATTTTACATTACAATACATCTTGGAGTAGAAAAGGAAAATTTGACCCAATATTGACACCGTAACAAACTATGACCTTAACATAACCATACATCTTAAGGCAATCATCCTTGACAAGTGACAGGACTGGCGTTAAATGATCACACCAATATACAAACTGTCTAAACAAAATATAATACAGGAATGTGTATTCTGTGCTAGCTGTACATTGTTGAAGCCTGCGATACGATTTTAGCTAAAGTGTCTATCCATTAAGTCTGGAGCACGCTATCGGTTAGTGTAAACATTTTCTTCTTCTTCTGTAGGCGGCGTCACATAATTGTTTGGCTTAGCTCTCGATAAGTTAGCAAAGTGTGAGTTGACTTCGTTCTGTCTCTCTAGGACTTTGTATAAACATCTGTACTGTTCCTGTTAGGTGAAATAAACATTCCAGTTAGGCTCATATTTCAGGACCAATCAAATTACAAAACAAAAATTCAAGTTGCAAGAATTTTGATCCCAAACTTTATTACAATTTTTCATTACAGTATCAATTCGTTGGATAATTATTATGCATTTTTTGACTATATATTGGATGTGATTACTTAAAAGCAAATTTAAATTTAAAAAAAAAAGTAATTAAAAACTATACGAATTACACACGAAATATTCTGATCATAAAATTGCTAACATAATGTTTACAAGATAATGTTAACAATTATCTATAGAACGGCAAATACTAAAGTTGCCAATATCAAAGTATTGCATATACATTGCATTAATAACGTCATGAAATTATAGATTAGGACTGTTTAACCCTAACTATACCGTAGTGAACGTCTTCTTACAGCAGTTAGCGTCAACAAAACTCCCTCATGTCTCAGCTTGTCCGCAGTATGTACAACATGTATTCGCCCTGTATCTTCCGCTTCTCTTATCACATTATATACAGCGATGAAAATTCCTTTCCGATCAACCTTACCACTAAAAAATAGCTTTGATTAAAAAAAAGATTACACTATATATAGAGAAATCATTGAATGATACGTTTCTTAAAACAATGTCTGTATCTTAAACATAACATTAAGTGCATAAAAATCTATTAAGTTGTAAACCTGCAGTGGACAACAATAGGCCTTGATGCACCCCCTAACGCCACCCTCTGTTCAAAGTCCACAAGTCCCCACGGTGTTAGAGGCACACCTTTGTCTGGCCACGATGTGAAGTGGAACTGGGTGAACTGATGCGCCGGTTTGTTTTTCTGTAAAAACGCATGGGTATGAAATTGTACTTGCATAGTATAATTTAATATGATTTAGTTTAAAAAATGCTTAGATGTTACCGTAAATGTGAATTTTACCAAGTTCCAGATTCTATTGAACATGTTTACTTTGCTAAGTTCCAATTTCCGCAAATTGTAGTCAGCGAACACATGTGTTGTTGTTAGCTTCACTTTGATGTCACCAAATTTTATTGACCCTTCTGTAGGCCAGTAGTGAGAACATTCCTCCTGAAAATCAGATGTATACAATATCAAACTCAAGACACAAAATTACTTTTCGCGCTCTATTTTAGAGAGTTGAATGTTCATGTGTGTGTATTATTATATTACATGTGTAAAGAAAGATGCTCCTGTGTTTGTCTTGGAACTTATAAAAATAAATTCTATGGTATCATGCTTCATGTGCAGGTATGTTTAGATAACTGTTAGATCGTGATAAGGTGAAAACAAATTCGTTACCTTCCTTTCCTCTATCCGATTATCCAACATTATAACTTTATCAACTTTTTGTTCCCACAACATTCGAACAAAGTCGATGACGCTTGATTCATTTGGGCCTTTGACCAACAGTTTAAATTAGATTGCTGGTTTATCTTCGAAATGTAAGTTCACTTGTGCATTTAAATGTATACATGATAAGCTATATAAACTAAAATGCAAATAAACTAAAAATACTACCTTGTAATGCGATAAATTTATCTTCATCTTTGTAGCCCTAGAAATTAATGAATTAAATAACACGCTTTTTAGAAGACTAGAAGACTTATTTTAACAAAGACATTTAGGCTATATAATGACTAACAACGTTATCAATTTATATTTATTAAAAAAAAACACATTCTGCGAATGATTAATACATATACCTCTGTAGCATTTATGTAGTCGTCTTTAATGTCTTTTGTGTTGATTTTGTGATGGAAGGGGGGAAAGTCGTCTGCAAACATTGTCGCTCATTACATCAAAAAATGAATAGCGTATGAGATTATTTAACTAGATACATACAATACTCCGAGTGTGGCTTTATATGAAATTTGTCAGTGGGTTAGTTTTATAATGTTTTTAATGCCCGTCCGCGCGTTGCCGCGGTCTCAGAATAAAGTATGACGTAATATTTTAAGAGTGTTTCATCATTGTGTTACCAATCGTATATTCTTAGCAGTGTGACCTTGTTTTCTAAAACTGAGTTATCTAAATGTAAACAATGCCTGTGCTTGGATAATCCAAGTTAGATCATATGTATCTTGACACTACCGCATGAAAGCCTGGAGTGTAAGTTAATCACTCCCTGTAATAATGAGGTTGAACACACTTCAGTGACTACCAATTTGTCAGGGACTTAGATGGGCGCTCTCGGGAGCCCCCGATTACACTACCGCAGGGGACGACGTACGGCCCCTGACTACCTAAAACTAACGTAGGCGCCATGGTGCTTAATGGGTAACACAGGGCGCCAAATAGGACAGAGAAGAATCGAATCGCGCCCTGCCTGGTTGACACCCCGTCGAATTTGAATTATTTTTTTCGCAGATACCTCCTTAGGAGTATTCTCAACAACTCCCTAAAGTTCCATAGCGTTTGGACAAACAAATAAGCACACTGAGAGATAGACACACACATATTTTGCTTTATATATATATATATATATATATATATATATATATATATATATATATATATATATATATATATATATATATATATATATATATATATATATGGTTCCATGACAAATGATCTCAGGACAAATGATCTCAGACAAAATATCTCAGACAAAATATCTCACGGACAAATGATCTCAAGACAAATGATCTCAGGACAAATGATCTCAAGGACAAATGATCTCACGGACAAAAGATACCAGGACAAAATATAACAGGACAAATGATACCATGGACAATTGATCTCAGACAAAATATCTCAGACAAAATATCTCACAGTAAAATTTTAATAGTGTATTGGATGATTTTAGTTGATCTGAACATGTTTTTATTGACTGTCATATTTTATTTGTTTTCTGTTTAATATTGTTTATAGGCCTATATAATAATTGTGAGAAATGTTTACCTTTATAAATTTGTCATATTGCACTAAACATTTTAAAATTAACATTACTAATATAGTATGCAAAGATTAAAGAATTTTTTTCGATAGACAGAGTCGGTGGGCTTGACAAACATGAGACAATCCTACCAAGTCAGGTGGATTAAACTAGATAAAAGCGGATGAAATAACAATATAGACACACATTCATATCAAGGTGGCCGCCCTATTTGATGGCAGAGACATGCCTTAAGGGAAAGACAACCGACCTCAGAGGACAATACAACTAGCATCTAAAGTCAAAAGTTATGCGTCAGTCACACCTTAGTGATCAGGTGACACATGTTTATTTAAACGACAGCGGTCATCTCGGAGCTAAGTTTGTCGTAGTGTACATTCAAACAAAGCAGTATTGATGGTGCTTACTCAGCTATGGATTAGTTACCTACCAGAAAGGTTTTAGGATATTAGTTTCTGGTGAATTTATGTTTATTAAAGCCATACGTGGTGTAGCAGGCAAAGAGATTTGGAAATGTGAAATTAGAACATATCGAGCAAGAGTTCAAACAATACATGATCACATAGTAATGGAGAGGTGTGATCATAACCATGCACCTTCAAGCAAAAAAACAAAACAAAACGTAAGCGTTATGTTTGAGTTGATGCTGCAATGAAAACAATTGTATTACGTTACGAACCTGATGACCTTTTTACATTTTTCAAAAATAATTAGAGAGTTTTGAACATTAATGTTACTTTTTTTTAACCATTATCATTTATTATACCTTTCATGCTAAAGGGGTATGTTTGTTTTAATTTTTACTTTATCAAATCAAAAGCTGTTACAAAGTTTGATAAATCTTTTGATGCTTTGTTAATTAAGTTTAACAAATTCATTTTATTCACAATTATAATGCGTAAAAAAGTAAACAAAACCATGTTGACAGTCAATAAAAAATTTTCAAATCAACTAAAATCAACCAATACACTATTAAAATTTTGCTGTGAGATATTTTGTCTGAGATATTTTGTCTGAGATCATTTGTCCTTGATATCATTTGTCCTGATATATTTTGTCCTGGTATCTTTTGTCCGTGAGATCATTTGTCCTTGAGATCATTTGTCTTGAGATCATTTGTCTTGAGATCATTTGTCTTGAGATCATTTGTCCGTGAGATATTTTGTCTGAGATATTTTGTCTGAGATCATTTGTCCTGAGATCATTTGTCATGGAACCATATATATATATATATATATATATATATATATATATATATATATATATATATATATATATATATATATATATATATATATATATAATAGATTACTATAGCTTTTAAGAGGCTGCTATAAATACTCAATAGAAGGTATCTGGATTTTTTTTTAAAGTCGGCACCCTAGAAGCCCCAATTATTCTTTAGAGCCGTTTATGTGTTTATTATTGTATAGGAATAGCAATAGTTTTGGACAGATAATTAAATAACGCCTCTAAAATGCATCATTTCTTTTCTAATGAGATAGCAGCAACACGCTCAATGGGTACGGTAGCTTAATCAAGCAAATATATATACATAATGAAAGTCAGTATTTTCAAATTGAGATAAATATAAGTCTAAATTGTATGTAAGATTTTGAGTTCACCTAAATAAATGCAATAATAATTATCTAAAACTCACGTGTACGAATACTTTTACATCTGTTATTTCTTTTCTTAGCGACTCTCTGTCCGAGAAATCGTGATTCGGTTTGTAATGAAGAGATTTTCTAAAAGCATATAGTATTTCTGTAAGTTAAATTATTTCATTTTTATCAGAATATTATAATGTATATATCATTTTGCCTGTCTGTAACTCGGTATAACTGAGCACACAGTTTCCAGTGGTAGAATATAATTAGGTTCATTAAATTAGATGGGGTATAAATTCATTATTGCTTTCCTTGATGGTTTAGTTAAATCAAATCTTAGGAATTAACTTAAACCAATAAAAATATAGCAAAACTTTATTTGATATTCAACTCCAGCTTTTTTATTGGATGTAGCGTTTTGTAGTTACATTAAAATATTATAATAAACGAGAAAGTTTAGGTGATATCACTCCCACTTTATTAATTTCTAGTATACAGATTATAGACAAAGTATTGTAACGGAGCACGAAAATCAAATGACATTTTGGCAGTGTTGACAGTTTTACTTCTCAGTACTTCATCATAGACGGAGTAAAAGGGACTTATTTTAATCGGGCTAAAATTCTAAATCCAGATTTATTAAAATGTTGGCGCTTTAAACGTAATTACGTAATCGAGTTGGAAAAATTGCGCTACGCAATTTTATCCGAGTGGGTGTAGGCCTACGTGTGTGTGTGTGTATGTGTGTGTGAACACGATAACTTGAGTACCGATACAGCTGGGTTGGTGAAATTTCACCTAAAAGTAATATATCAAAGTTGTAGTTCCCTCTCTATATTTCAGCTATTTCCGATATACGGAAGTGGAACTTATTGTCCCTTTGATTTTTCAAAAGCCTGTAACTTGAATACTGTTTCAGATAGGTAAATGAAATTACACATATAAGTAAAATATAAGTAATATAGATACTGGTTTGCTTAAGGTCAAATTTTGAGTAATTTCTGAAGACCGGAAGTAGTAAATAATGCTATTTCCGATTTATAATAAAAACGCATGTGAGTTTATAAAGTACTAATAATATTCCGCACTATTACACACACATTGTTTGCCTGTCACTTGGTGCACGATTCTTTTCGACGAGATCCTATTCTTTTTTTAAAAAGTTTAAGTAATTAAAAATGGACAAAAATCATGTCTATATCCCCAGTTGCCATCTCCCTTGGCATTATATAAGTATATTCAAGCAAGTTTAGGGGAAATAATCACGCTTTATTTAAAATTGAATTAGTCCAGAAGTTATATGTCAGGGTCACATATTTTCTTCTTTAACAATAATTTTGCAGTCATAAAACTACTTTTATATCTGAAGTTGAACGATACCCATAATCACAGCTCGACTTTAAAGAAGGAAATATTTCCCCTAAACTTTCCCATATTTTGTTGTATGAAAGTAAAGGCTGAGAGGGCAAGTTCTGAAGTTTTCATAAAAATTATAAATAAAGTAAACTATTCCATTATTAAACACTTATTTCCGCTTTCGTAATATTTTCATAGAGAAAAATCGCGTAGAAAAATAATCTCTCTCCAAAGTGATTAAAAAATTATCAAATTCGTATGTTGTTTTGAGAAATTTGAGATAGTCTAGATTGGATGATTTTTATACCCCCCCCCCCCGCATTAAATTTCGTCCAACTTTCTGAAACAGTAATTACGTAATTGCCATTTTAGAAAACGGAAATAGAGTAAAGTAAACCTTCGACAATCATAGGTCATTCAAAATCTGAGACTAATTCAAGTAAAATATCGTATACTTATGTATGAAAATAATACTTAAGCGAAATAAAAGTTATATGCATTTTAAAAACTGCAACTACCGCTTCCGAATACCGGAAATCGCTCAAAAATGAATACTAAAGCAACACATTTAATTTATATATATATTATATGTATATATGTATGAAATTTCAGTAACCTAACTAACACTGCACCGAAGTTATCATGATTACTTACACACAGAAACACGACTTGATAACAAAACTAAGTTTTCTAAGTTTCGCTAGTTTTTAAAACGTCAAAATGTGTCAGAATTTATATTCCGTTATATCTTTAAATTATGCAGCATAGTTATAATACTTTGCTTATGATCTGTATACGTGAAAGTAAAGAAAAAATAGAAAAGTGTAGAAAAGTATATACACTACTCGTTGTAATTTGGTGATAAAATGCACACTACGGTTTATAGAAAGTAATTTCATGGGTCCCCGATAG